TAACATATCGCAACCTCTGTCTTCTTACTGCGTATATCATAATTTGTAAATCGTTTGCGCTGCTAAATGCAGGCCACACAATGGATTGGTAAGTGACAAACAGATTTGCTCGAGCACAATATAATTTCCCGGACCCATGGCTCATCCTTGGTTGACGGCGATACCACATTCTTCTCAAATTTAGTTAAGAATACCGAAATTGCCAGAAAACGATCCGCTGTAAATTCTACCTTTTGCTGATCGGGCGTTGATGTTTTTGCCTTTACCAACTCCGTGAATGGTTTTGTAAACGCATCATCCTACAAAAATTTAAAAGAATAAGGCCGAATTAGGTATTTTCCTTTAGGAATCAGCTGGTCACTTTGCACATTGTACTTCGTATTTTTGTCCCGAAATGAATGTCCTTCGATAGGTTGTAAGACCGATTCAGCTCAGCACATCCACATGGGATTTTGTTGAAATACTTTTAGCAATATATCGTGGTTGAGCTCTACTTAAAGTATATATCATAACTTTCCTGCGCCCTTATTAGCCTTAAAAAGTTAGATGAATCATAAACCAGCTCAGTTAGTTAAACTTCAAAAAACTCATTAGTTGCAGATAAAATAAACTTGGAAGCAGTGATTGTAGAATAGCTTTCATAGTGAACAGCTGATGAATAACAAGGCGATATCTGAACTTGGGAAGACTGCAGGTCTATGCTAGAAAATGGTAAACTGCTTCTTGAATGTCCCAATTGTAACAGCACTGGGAATATTGTAGAGTCTCAAGCAAGTTTCAATTTTTCGACCTTGTCTGTGGTTGGCCTCGGCAGCTGGCGGAGATGCTAAACTAGCGCTTGTCACATCCATAGCTTTCAATGGCCGGAGAGACAAGTCTTCTGCCCTATGACAAAATAGCACCGGTTCGAACCTGCGTAAAGGTGAGCGATCCCATAATATCTCTCTCTCGCTGTCAACTTGTGGTGATCGCGTGGCAGCGAAGCGTCGGTGAAGCGTACCGCCTTGCTTCTGATGCTTTTATTCCATCCAAGCGCGGAACTCGCGAATGCGAAATTTCGCGGTATTCAGTATATGACTTTAGAAATATTATGTTCCCAATTACTATGTTAATAAGCAAGTGTAAATGAAACTAACAGTGGCGACGCCTTCATCTAGTTTGTTTTAATGTATTTAGTGGTTAAGTAGCACCATACTTTGTATGTCGGTTATTTCGTCGCCTATTTTTTACGCATTTGGATGTTGTAAAAGTGATTTACATGACTTTACATGACTTTTCTACAGACATAAGCGTAAATAATGGACGCGTTCGTAAGTCATTACTTTTTATTCCTCAGCAATCGTTTCGCCACTATAACGCATAGAAAGACAGAAGCTCGCAATTCTCAACTTAAGTGCACTCGGTTAACATCAGATTCTTTAGCATTATTTACACACCTTAAATGTCCGAAGTTCGAAATCACTGAACTTCATTACTCGGATGTTACAGCGACAGTAAATTGAATTAACCTCAATAATTACTGACTGTTCGGTTGTGGTGGTAGCTTTGTGGTGAAAACCCTGTTAAATATGGCCCTTAAATGAGGATAAAATAGTTTACGGCTAGACAGTCTCAAGTGAATTGTCAATCGTAACAACCACTGAAAGGTGTATTTAGTAAAGGTGTTGCATAAGTAATCATATGGAAATTTCAGTCTCTATTCTTCTTGTTATATTCCGTGCATGACATTCACACCAGCGTATTCGATGTTGAAAATATATGGTACTCAACATCACTCATATAAATTTATATTTATGCTATTAGGAAAGTTCAACATCATTAGAAGTTGAAATCAACTGCTTTTTGTTATTGACTTCTCCATTCACAAATGAACAGGTCCTACGTGGGTTACTGCTGTTATGCTGTGTTATTAATAAAGGCTTTAAGGACATGCAGATAATTGTGATTGTTTGCAAATGAGTCCCGTCATGTTTAACATAGTTAATAGCAGTCATTGTTATGTTATTAAAAGGGCTGCTAAATATAGTTTGAACTCAGCTCATAAATTGCAGTTTATATATTCTTTGATTATATTCGGAGGTAGTAACCTCACTTGTTCTTCTGTTCGTAGCAGTCTTTAGCCTCAAGAGAATAAAACCGCTGCTTGAATAGTGGTATTGCCAGACTAAAACCCGTTTTGACATCAGCATGGATTATGTACCACATGTTGTGTACACTATCTAGCAACGGATACGCAAACAAAATATTTTATGTTGGTTCTACTGCTGCAAATTGACCATGTATAATTTCTAGTTTAAAATGAGAAATGCATTTATGAATGTGCACGCGAAAATATGAACGCGCTGAGTATAATACTTTCGTAATATGGGATTTATTGCGTATTTCTTGAAGGTTTCTCACAGTAAAAACCCGCCAGACCTCAAATCAGTAGTCGCCATAGCATCTTACAGACCGCCTCGATTGCTGGCGACTTGCGAAGAAAGTCATGGTTCTGGATGCCGAACTTTTCACTGCAAAAATTCATAACATGCATGACAGTGCAAGTAAGTCATGGTAGTCCGCTGCTGGCGTCTGTGTCTGAGTAGCAGAAGTTGGGGGCTTGCTAGAATAATGTCATGGTTTCCAATTCGGCGGGATTCGGGGGGGTTTGCGCTACCATCAGGTCCCAATGGGAAGAAACGGCCGTCTATTACTTTCCTGGATGTATGCTGACTGTCCGCTTGAGTTTAGATATGAAGACTATAGTGTTATTTGTGACTAAAATGTTGATACAGCCTGATGCTTTATAAGATTGCATGTTGTATCCAATTGGTTAAATGTGATGAGCTACATTAGGTATCCAGTAAGGGTTAACATAATACTAAACCATTAATATTGTCAAGGCGACAAAAGACACCAGACGCGATAATTCAACGTCTTGATGCTTATATTACTTCACACACTTCACAAACACACGCGCACTCATTTAAATTGAAAAAGCGAGCAAAAGGAAAGTATTTCACGTTCAAGAGCAAGGTAACCAAATTCATTACATCAAGAGACTCTGTGCGGTTAGAGCCGGCTACTGGGCCCTAATTGACATGGCCTAAATAAAGAAAAGGGTCTGTATTAATGAATAAGATTGGCTGTTTCAAATATTCCGGGAACATTCCGGGAGACAGGAAGAAGTTTCAGCAATGCGAGAAATCTAAAAGCATTATTTTGATAGTGAAAGAAGGCAAGGATACTCTAGCTCCTCTTGCTACGTGGTTACGTCAATAAGTTGTAATACTAGCAATTTAAATGGAACGACATGCAGGCACACAGGTGAGTGGCTCTCTCTATTTGCACAACGTAGGAAACCTATTACGTCCGATTATGTGCATAAGCACATCGCTTTGTCACAACGTTACGCGTTGGCAGGCGAAACCATTAGAACAGGTACTTGACCACCTAGATACGTATTATGTAAAACAACTTAGGAAGAGGCTGAAACCCGGGAATAATTGCTATTGAGTACAGGATTCATACAAACATTGAGCATGTATATCTACCTATAAATCTATATACTGTATTTTTTTATATTTATACTAGTGAAATCATGAGTATTACATAATAAATATTAATCGAAACTTGAAAAGTATTCAGGAATATGTATTAAATCTTAAGCATTATTTATAATCAAAAATTTTATTATATAGATATGTCTAATAATTAGGTATTCAGTAAAAATTATGAACTAGAAAATATTTGACAAAAATCGTGGGATTTTTATGAACGACTGTTGTTACTAAATGTATTATTGCCTGACTGTGCTATTTTCTTACAATATATTTGGTAGGGAGAATTTTAACTTGTGTAGGTGGCTACAACATGAAAATGCAAAACTGTGGAATCCCTGTTAGAGGCAACCTGAAAGGGGTTTCCGAGGATGGCCGAAAATACTGTCGATAACTAAAACTAACTACATGTTATTATGGATGCATAATCACAGTATCCATGTGTTGCGCAGTCGCAGAGAAAAACGCTGTCCACTTCGATGGAGGATTCGACTGTCAGTTGAATACGCCTGGTTTCTCCATAGTTTACACAGTTCGTATGACGAGGATTCGTAATAGGTTTATGGGTTTGGCTATGAAACTTATCAGCGTACAATATGAGTTACATTTGTCCTAGTTGTCCGCTAACTAGCCACGCAATGTGACGGCTGTAGATTCGGGGACCATTGAGCACACGGCAGCCAGGATGCTACTGTTAGATCCCCAATTCCTTAATCTAGAAGATAGGGAAATTGTTTGTCCTGACCCGCTGACAAGTGTTAATTGGTTACTTCTGTCTCTATTTGCGTTAAACGTATTTAAAACAGAAGACACCACAACGGTGGCCTCTCGGCTGACCTTTGCAAGGACAACTACATATGTAACTGATGTCCCGGAGGCTTTGAATCGACAAGATATATTTGACCTACATGTAACCGGTGTTGGTGTTACTGTGCTACATCATTGTTAATGATAGATGTTGTTTAGTTGCATTTACTTAACTAGAAGTTTTGGGTGGTGCATTATTTTCGTTGCCATGAATATGGTTTTATTATCGTAGCTACGGTCAGCTTTCGCTCTCCGTTCGATCAAATTTGGAGAAAGCAACGGAGATGTGTACATGAATGATTGCGGTGCAAGGGAAGCACATTGTGCAACGTTCCGTAACTTAGAGACCACTAATTTCCTTGGTACATACTCGCTTCCACTGAAGTAAGCGTATGGCTCATCCGCTGCTCTGAATGCAATGCGAAACCTGGAGTAGAAATATTTAATAAATATGTTTCACATATACTGTGTAAATTTCATTCGCCTAGTCAAGCTACGTTTGCAGATGACGGCTTTGCAGGTATATACAATGGCAGCTGACTAAGGCAGTTGGTTAAAGAATTGACCAAATGATGGCAGCAATTTCTTTGCACAAAATGGCCTGCAGATAACTTTTGTCAATGTTATTTTAGCAAACTTGTTGATCATTTTACAATGTGTTCGCTTTTCAAATTTTACTTAGGATTCGTGGTTGTACTAACTTCATGGGAAGAAGAGGAAATTGGATTCAAAAACAAAGTAATCGATCTTTTAACAAACAATAGTCAATCTTTTATATACATACGAGGTGTACATGCAAAATATTCATAATTGAATGCAAAAGGTATGCGCGATGCATAGGTTACTCTCCATTCAAATACACCTGGTTAGTTTGATCAGACATCAGGCATTGTTGTCTAGAAGCAAAATACTTTTACTTATGTGCGCCTTTTATTTCTTTGTATATTAATGATTGCAGATACTTTGCAGTTCCTCTTTTCATTCACAGTATCAGCATTTGTATTGTGTATCGTCAACAGTGACGTAACAAAAGTTCGTAATCCTTGAGTGCGTGGACTGAGGTTTAGTTTAGTAAAATGATCCTCATTGTTTGTGCCAAATAAACCATAGAAAATATATTTTGCAAAGTAATACCAACGCGATCATTTTTTGTGTAAAACGAGTGCTTCTGAATTCTGAAATTAATGTATTAATGGAGCAGGAACGATCATCTTATGGCAAATAGCACTTCACAATTTAGTTAAAGGAACACGACTACGCACCATGGGGCTACCCCGACTTTCAAATGGAGGCATTAAACAAGCTGGAGCATCTCGTAGAATTGGCGTTTATGGTAAAAGCAAAAGTGGAAGAAGTTAGAGGGTATAGTCAAGAAGGGATGTTTGCCATCGTTATTCGACGCGTTCCAGATTCTACTTCGTTTCCATTGTTTCCATACAGTCACCTTGAAAAAAGTTTTCGATGGATATGTTAACTAGGCCGTTTGGATAAGTAACCGATGGAGTATCGTTTGAAGATATTTGGACATGCCGCTTGGGACAACGCGCACCGTTTCCTCGACACATTACACTACGACAGACAAATATCTCACTGGTTTAGGTAGTCAGTGAAGTTCCTTGTAGTTTGAGAATGCCAAACCACTGATATATATAAGCGTTTACTTATCTTTTCGTGCAGCAGAGGCCTTAATTACTCCGTCGCCTAGTACAGCATTGAGCGAAATGTTTTGCTCCTGTCCTCATTTGCTACAAATACATTGGTGACAGCCACATACACGATCGGATCATTTAAGGATCAGGGACAAATGGACGATATACTGGCTTTTGCACAACGCACAGTATCGCTACATCAATGCATCGATATTTACAATAGTTTCCTCAATGACCCACCAATACCAACAAATGAAACACACAACTAACAAAGAATTAGATGTCGTTCCCGCAGGAAAGACAACATAGGTTACAAAGATGGGAAAATAGTTCTGTACAATTTGTGCTACGCGACAAAGAATAAATCTTGAACAGTGTTCGGCGTTGGAACGGAAAAACATTAAATTTGATGAACTGAACCTCTGTACTCATTGTTGCTAATCAAACAATGTAAGTGCTGTAAGGCTCAAAAAGTCGATACAGAAGTAGAACATACATTTGGAAACATCAATCGGGGGATACAACGATACTTTTTCTACGCAAAGGCAAAGTCGTACGATTCCAGCTAGACACGGGGCTACTGCCAATGTTCTATCCCAGAAACACTGTCTCGGGGTGTGCATCCGATCTCAGCAGAATTGCCTGCGGAAACGGAATGGTTCCAGGCTTAATACGCAGGGTTCAGGTAAAATCAAACTGATTAAATCAAAAGACGGATTTTCACATCCGCTGAGAGTTGTCGTTTTGCAGGGGTGCACACACGAATTCTTGGCATTGATCCGATACCTTGCCTTGATGTTGCAATTTTCAAACGTGATCGTTTCCTGCAAGCTTATAAGGGAGAAAGGGCATTTAGTGACTCGTATTCCTCCGTGTGTATCGCATATATGGGAAAATGCGAGGGAACGGTTCATTTATTGTTAGATATTTTTTACCACTGAGTGCGCTGTCGGCTAAAAGAGTTCTAGTTGCTCTGTGTGACGGTTTCTAAACTGAGTAAATTATAATATGTGTTTACCTATGTTATTGAGTAAACAGGTTCGGTTTGTCGGGCCGCTATTAATATGAGTAAGCTGACAAGATGTTCGTGTGTATTTTCTTGACATCTTTTAATTGCTAACCAACCTAGAAGGCTTTTTACCTCGTTTGGCCAAGTCGAGCTAAAATGTCGTAGCATATAATCTTATTTGTTTCGTCGGCTATTTCCACGGGACGTGCTGCAAAGCGAGTGTACTCGAAAAGTAAGCCTACACGATGGCTGAGTCTCAAGAGGACCTGGACGATCCACTTCACGGCCATTAGTTCTTATTTTGTGTATATACTATCCAGTACTGACGGCTTATCTTCTTCTTTGGCTCGGGTGGCAATTGTGCTGTAGCCAAACACCGCGTAACTGGGGACAAACTCTAAGACATCGGTATTAAACTGTTTCCCAGGACTACTTGGGATTTCAGAGCGTGCAAGTTAAAATCACCAGTAATGAGAAAGTAAGAGTAAGTTTTGTTTATAAACCGCCATAGTTTGGAAGCCAACTAGAAATCCAACTGCGGCGGGGAAGAAGAATTGCGATAAATGACTGCGAATATTTAAGTGTCGTCGCCTTTTTAAAGTAAACATCCTTAAAATGGAACATTTACGGTGTTGACCGGAGCCTCTAAGAGCTTACACTGTAAGTCGCAACCAAGGTTCAGAGCCAGTCTTCCAACTATGCTGGGTTGGTCGTGCCCAACAATGGGCATGCCTGGCAGTGTGAACTCGAGGTCACTTATGTTAAGGCACAACCCTGTATCACTTATAGCGAGAAGGTCGCAGGCTTTTGATACTTTACGCAGAAAGTCTTAAGCGTTGGTGTACATACAGGAAAGCTACTCGGGTTTTAAAAGCTGTTGACTAGGAGCACAGGAAGTGGATTTGTGTCGACCGATTAGAGGCCGGATTTTAAATCGGTTTTTAGTTGAATTGCCAATTATCTACTAGAAGTTAACCTGTTTTTAGTCTTATTGGCACCTCGGGTATACC